ACCTCAGCGAATAGGTGGCTCAGTGAAGAAGCAGTTCGACAAAGTAGTAGCTCACTCACCCATTCCTTCGCTCATTCCATCCTTCTTTCATTGATTCACTCGCTCATTGATTCATTCCTTCATTCAATCAGTCAGTCAGTTAGTCAGTCAGTAAGTTCATTCATTCAGTCAGACGTGCATTGATTCGTTCATGTCATTTCAATGGCATCTCAACAACCACTTGGTTTATTCGTTGATGCACCTCACAACCGCAGCATTTCACTGCTTCTATATGTCACGGACATTATGGTCATTGACTTCTTATAGCCGTTGTGTGTGCGCGCTATAAGTCAGCTTTTCCAGCTCCTATTGCCAGAGTGTATCATCGGATTGTTCCTTATGCCCTTGATCCGCTCCTGCTTGACAGTCGCAAGCACTTCAGCTGCCTGAGCCCCTCCCATCACGCTGATTCCTCGGGTAACGTATCACCGGAACGGGGGGAGGTGCTCAGAGCCCACCTGGGGACAACACGCCAAATTTGGAACACCTGAAAAAGGACAAAAAGGTGACACCTGAGCTGCAGATGGGACAAAAAGTGTTTTGAAAGGGAGAATTTTGAGACCTTCACCAAAGTTCACCAAACTTCAAGTCTCAAAAGTCTCAAGACTCTCAAAAGTCTCAAAAGTCTCAACATCCCAGCGGCGCGAGTTGGGCCAGGTGAAGAGGAAGCGGGGGTCATAGGCACGACCGCACATGCCATAGTTCCCAGCACCGTGGCTTCCAGCAATGATCACTGTGATCTTGGGCACCTGCAAATCAAATCAGCCATGCGTTTGCGAAATGCTTAAGCGAAATCTCTAAACGATTTGCCCACATGTTCCCCTCTGAATCTCCGCCGAGCGGCATCTACGCAAGAAACGGCATTGACCATTTTGGCACCATCACGTGCGATCCCTCCATTCTCGTAGGCCTTCGTTTGGAAAACACAGCTGTGCTGCCACAATTTCGGTGGACTCATGGAGTCAGGAATGTGACACAAAAACAGATTTTTCCAAGATCCATACTGAACAAAAATGACATGGACGGTATGGAGGAAAACTTTTCGCTTGCGATCGGACATGGAACAATCCAAATAACCAAAAGCCTGTGTGGAATGTTGCCATTGCTATTGCTGCCGAGAAGCCTTGCCGACCATGAAACCGGTGATGTTCTGCAAAAAGAGCAGAGGAATTTTGCGCTGCCCGCAGAGCTGCACAAAGTGTGCCCCCTTCTGTGCCTGGCAACACACACGACACTCTCGACACTCTCGACACTCTCTCGACGCGTCAAGGATGACTCGTTCTGCGACTACTCAGGAGTACTAAAGGACGTCGGGAAAAGAGCTAGAGCAAAATGTGCAAATATTCAGAAAAGAAAGAAAAAGAGAGAGAGAGAGAAAGAGACACTGAGTCGAAGCTGTTCAGTCTTTCAAATTTCAGATTTATTTCTAAGGAGCCCTTGTGCTGCAACCAACATCATGTCAACTCAAACGCTTTCTTCCTTCAATGTATGAGGAAATGTGAATGATTTGGATCTGGGGGTCACACAGACTCGCCGAAGAGGATGCCATTGTTGGCAACAATTCCTCTGCTGGTGCTGCACGGTATGATATTATTTTCAGCTGCTCACCTTATGCACTGTTTGAAGTACATGCATGAAGACTCACAAACAGGCACACCCAACACCAACTTCGAATCTGGATGACATGAGTGTGGTTCACCCTCTTCAACAGTATGAAACCCCAGAAGCTGATTCAAAAAAGTATTTGCACACGTATGCAAATGTAATGACCATTTGTGTCATAGACATTGATACTTTTTGTTTTTATTTGTTTTTTTGTGTGTTCCTACACACCGGCGAGCATCCCACTGGATAGCCGTGGATGTGTGCGAAGCCACAGACTAAGGTGCTACCATAGCGAGCTTTGAACTCATGGAAGCGTGAGCCATCCACAAGTCTAGCGATGACTTGTCTGACCTCAAAGGCCTCAGGTCCAAGTGCCAGGAGCGAGGGCCATTATAACATCTGTATTGAATTCCATTAAAAAGAAACGCGGCCAAATACACAAACAAATCAATAAAGTAAGTAAATGACAACATGAATACAGAGATGTAATAATTATATAATGTTTATTTAGACACCCGTGCAATTTGGATTTCTTTCCCAATCCCAACTTTGACCTCACCTTGGAGTTGTCCTCTGGAATGAGGCCCAAGAGCTCCTCTGGATCCAGTAATGGTTCCTCTGGCTCCACCTTTCGTCGAGGACTTCACAAATCTTTGACATAAGTTGATGTCATTTGGCTATGAATCAATACCTATGAAAATACCATTTTTAGAGGGATGAACATCCATAAATCCCAGCTATTTTTATGTTCACCAGGGGTACAAGGTTTTGACCCACTGCCATTTGATGTCATTTGATGTTATTAGACAACTGGATGACTGGCAACTTTGGGCAGCAGTGCAAGCAAAGTTTTCATCCTGAGATTGTGCCATTCTTTGCGTGACTCCAATGAAGCGGCCTCTGGCTGTGCTGCACTGGTGCCACCCACATACTCCAAGACCTCTCTGCAGGTGGCCAATGCCTTGGAAAGTGACGACTGTCGCAACACGTTTCTCCTCTGACAGGCCCAAGGGACCTAAGTGACTTAAGTATTACTCAAGTATTACTTATAAATACGTCTAAAGATCGTATAAGTATTACAGTATTACTTCACTAACCGAACAGGACCTAACTCTCCGATCTCCCAAGGCTCCGGCTTCGGGTTCGTTCTCAGCAAAGTGATCAGCGACCCCAGATTTGGAGGTGTGCACATCTGCACCTCCCAGTTCCTGCACGATCTGCACAGGTCGCATAAATGGCATAAACAGAATCCCCCGAAGAATCCTTGTCCAATGACGAGTGTGATAAGATTAAGTGCTCAAAACAACAATAGACACAGTAGATGCTGTCCGCTCCCTTTGAACAATTCAAATGTGTGTATATCCGCCGACCCCGGCAGACGCAAGGGGGAGCGCGCCAGGGAATAAGACAAGGAAAGACAAGCAAGTTTAGCCGCACTAGCAGCAAGAGCAGCGGCTAGCAGCAAGAGCAGCGGCAGAACTCTTGTGGGTCGGCCATGTAGGAATGCATGGTTGTCTTCGGATAAGCGTCCGACGCGAAGTTCGGCTTGCAGGGCCTGTTCGTCCTTCCGTGCCTTGCTGTTTTGGTGCCGGGAGGTGCTTTTGATATTCTTCTGTTAGCAGCAGCAGCAGCAGCAGCAGCAGGTGAGCTGATAGGAGATTGAAAAAGCGGAAAAGGTTGGGAAAAAGACATTTTTTCTAGGAATTCAGAAGGGACGTTAGGCACTTTTTGCAGCAGCAGCAGCAGCAGCAGATTGAAAAAGCGGAAAAGGTTGGGAAAAAGACATTTTTTCTAGGAATTCAGAAGGGACGTTAGGCACTTTTTCGGTGCAATTCTAGGGCCTGTTCGTCCTTCCGTGCCTTGCTGTTTTGGTGCCGGGAGGTGCTCTTGCTACTCTTCTGTTAGCAGCAGCAGCAGCAGCAGGTGGGCTGATGGGATTGAAAAAGTGGAAAAGGTTGGGAAAAAGAAAGACATTTTTTCTAGGAATTCAGAAGGGACGTTAGGCACTTTTTCGGTGCGATTCTGTGGCATGTTCGTCCTTCCGTGCCTTGCTGTTTTGGTGCCGGGAGGTGCTCTTGCTACTCTTCTGTTAGCAGCAGCAGCAGCAGCAGCAGCAACTGCTGTTTTGGTGCCGGGAGGTGCTTTTGGGCAGCAGCAGCAGCAGGTGAGCTGGTGGAAGATTGAAAAAGTGGAAAAGATTGCGAAAAAGACATTTTTTCTAGGAATTCAGAAGGGACGTTAGGCACTTTTTCGGTGCGATTCTAGGGCCTGTTCGTCCTTCCGTGCCTTGCTGTTTTGGTGCCGGGAGGTGCTCTTGCTCCTCTTCTGTTAGCAGCAGCAGCAGCAGCAGCAGCAGGTGGGCTGATGGGATTGAAAAAGTGGAAAAGGTTGGGAAAAAGAAAGACATTTTTTCTAGGAATTCAGAAGGGACGTTAGGCACTTTTTGCAGCAGCAGCAGCAGCAGATTGAAAAAGCGGAAAAGGTTGGGAAAAAGACATTTTTTCTAGGAATTCAGAAGGGACGTTAGGCACTTTTTCGGTGCAATTCTAGGGCCTGTTCGTCCTTCCGTGCCTTGCTGTTTTGGTGCCGGGAGGTGCTCTTGCTACTCTTCTGTTAGCAGCAGCAGCAGCAGCAGCAGCAGGTGGGCTGATGGGATTGAAAAAGTGGAAAAGGTTGGACATTTTTTCTAGGAATTCAGAAGGGACGTTAGGCACTTTTTCGGTGCGATTCTGTGGGATGTTCGTCCTTCCGTGCCTTGCTGTTTTGGTGCCGGGAGGTGCTCTTGCTGCTCTTCTGTTAGCAGCAGCAGCAGCAGCAGCAACGGCTGTTTTGGTGCCGGGAGGTGCTTTTGGGCAGCAGCAGCAGCAGCAGCAGCAGGTGAGCTGGTGGGAGATTGAAAAAGTGGAAAAGATTGAGAAAAAGATATTCAGAAGGGACGTTAGGCACTTTTTCGGTGCGATTCTAGGGCCTGTTCGTCCTTCCGTGCCTTGCTGTTTTGGTGCCGGGAGGTGCTTTTGCTGCTCTTCTGTTAGCAGCAGCAGCAGCAGCAGCAGCAACGGCTGTTTTGGTGCCGGGAGGTGCTTTTGGGCAGCAGCAGCAGCAGCAGCAGCAGCAGCAGCAGCAGGTGAGCTGATGGGAGATTGAAATAGCGGAAAAGGTTGGGAAAAAGACATTTTTTCGAGGAATTCAGAAGGGACGTTAGGCACTTTTTCGGTGCGATCCTGTAGCATGTTCGTCCTTCCGTGCCTTGCTGTTTTGGTGCCGGGAGGTGCTCTTGCTACTCTTCTGTTAGCAGCAGCAGCAGCAGGTGAGCTGATAGGAGATTGAAAAAGCGGAAAAGGTTGGGAAAAAGACATTTTTTACTTTTTCGGTGCGATTCTAGCGCCTGTTCGTCCTTCCGTGCCTTGCTGTCTTGGTGCCGGGAGGTGCTTTTGCTACTCTTCTGTTAGCAGCAGCAGCAGCAGCAGCAACGGCTGTTTTGGTGCCGGGAGGTGCTTTTGGGCAGCAGTAGCAGCAGCAGCAGGTGAGCTGGTGGGAGATTGAAAAAGTGGAAAAGGTTGAGAAAAAGACAGACATTTTTTCTAGGAATTCAGAAGGGACGTTAGGCACTTTTTCGGTGCGATTCTGGCATGTTCGTCCTTCCGTGCCTCGCTGTTTTGGTGCCGGGAGGTGCTCTTGCTACTCTTCTGTTAGCAGCAGCAGCAGCAGCAGCAGCAGCAACGGCTGTTTTGTGCCGGGAGGTGCTTTTGGGCAGCAGCAGCAGCAGGTGAGCTGGTGGGAGATTGAAAAAGTGGAAAAGGTTGAGAAAAAGACATTCTTTCTAGGAATTCAGAAGGGACGTTAGGCACTTTTTCGGTGCGATTCTAGGGCCTGTTCGTCCTTCCGTGCCTTGCTGTTTTGGTGCCGGGAGGTGCTCTTGCTACCTTCTGTTAGCAGCAGCAGGTGAGCTGATCGGAGATTGAAAAAGCGGAAAAGGTTGGGAAAAAGACATTTTTTCTAGGAATTCAGAAGGGACGTTAGGCACTTTTTCGGTGTGATTCTAGGGCCTGTTCGTCCTTCCGTGCCTTGCTGTTTTGGTGCCGGGAGGTGCTTTTGCTACTCTTGTGTTAGCAGCAGCAGCAGCGGCAGCAGCAGCAACGGCTGTTTTGGTGCCGGGAGGTGCTTTTGGGCAGCAGCAGCAGCAGCAGCAGGAGCAGCAGCAGCAGGAGCAGCAGCAGCAGCAGGTGAGCTGATGGGAGATTGAAATAGCGGAAAAGGTTGGGAAGAAGACATTTTTTCGAGGAATGCAGAAGGGACGTTAGGCACTTTTTCGGTGCGATCCTGTAGCATGTTCGTCCTTCCGTGCCTTGCTGTTTTGGTGCCGGGAGGTGCTCTTGCTACTCTTCTGTTAGCAGCAGCAGCAGCAGCAGCAGCAGCAGCGCAAAATATAGCAATGTCGAAGCCGCTCTCCGCTTGACCATTGGAAACGTGAAACAATACCTAACACTCAAGGATCAATAACAGCAATACCACAAGGTATCTGCGATTCACACATAGATACACAGATACACAGATACACATATACATATACATACATATACATACATAGACATACATAGACATACATATACATACATAGACATACATAGACATACATAGACATACATATACATACACATACATACATATACATACATATTATTATATATACATATATATATATACATACATACACAGATATATAGATACATAGATACATAGATACATAGATAGAAACATACATAAATGCATGCATGCATGCATGCATGCATGCATAAATATCAACATCAATATCAATATGTACATATCCTTGTTGGCACTTTCAAGTATTTTTCTTTCGCATCCTGAATAATGAGATTGACTATTGACTATTGATATTATTTCTATCCTATTGCGACATGATCCAGGACAGTCTATTATCCCAATTGACTATTGATATCGAAGAAGCCTCACTGGAAAAGCATTTCTTTATCCCAATTGATTAATAGTTGTACCAAGCAGATATTACGTATATCTAAATTATTGTTGAATTATTTGAATAATATTACGGCCAGGCGCTTTGTGTTGCCCGGACGGTGCAGGAGCAGGTGAGCTGATAGGAGATTGAAAAAGCGGAAAAAGTTGGGAAAAAGACATTTTTTCTAGGAATTCAGAAGGGACGTTAGGCACTTTTTCGGTGCGATTCTAGGGCCTGTTCGTCCTTCCGTGCCTTGCTGTTTTGGTGCCGGGAGGTGCTCTTGCTACTCTTCTGCTGCAGCCCTTGCTGTTTTGGTGCCGGGAGGTGCTTTTGCTGCTCTTCTGTTAGCAGCAGGAGCAGCAGCAGCAGCAGCGGCAGCAGCAGCAGCAACGGCTGTTTTGGTGCCGGGAGGTGCTTTTGGGCAGCAGCAGCAGCAGCAGGTGGGCTGATGATTGAAAAAGCGGAAAAGGTTGGGAAAAAGACATTTTTTCTAGGAATTCAGAAGGGACGTTAGGCAGTTTTTCGGTGCGATTCTAGGGCCTGTTCGTCCTTCCGTGCCTTGCTGTTTTGGTGCCGGGAGGTGCTCTTGCTACCCTTCTGTTAGCGGCAGCAGCAGCAGCAGCAACGGCTGTTTTGGTGCCGGGAGGTGCTTTTGGGCAGCAGCAGCAGCAGCAGCAGGTGGGCTGATCGGAGATTGAAAAAGTGGAAAAAGTTGGGAAAAAGACATTTTTTCTAGGAATTCAGAAGGGACGTTAGGCACTTTTTCGGTGCGATTCTAGGGCCTGTTCGTCCTTCCGTGCCTTGCTGTTTTGGTGCCGGGAGGTGCTCTTGCTACTCTTCTGTTAGCAGCAGCAGCAGCAGGTGAGCTGATGGGAGATTGAAAAAGCGGAAAAGGTTGGGAAAAAGACATTTTTTCTAGGAATTCAGAAGGGACGTTAGGCACTTTTTCGGTGCGATTCTGTGGCATGTTCGTCCTTCCGTGCCTTGCTGTTTTGGTGCCGGGAGGTGCTCTTGCTACTCTTCTGTTAGCAGCAGCAGCAGCAGCAGCAACGGCTGTTTTGTGCCGGGAGGTGCTTTTGGGCAGCAGCAGCAGCAGCAGCAGCAGGTGAGCTGATGGGAGATTGAAAAAACGGAAAAGGTTGGGAAAAAGACATTTTTTCTAGATGCCTGCTTCTTGGTTTGCAAGCTGGCGATGTTATGTAAAAGTGAGCAAAGGCTGCTCAAGGTGTATACATATAAACACACATACACAACACGACACACACA